TGCTGTTGGGTYGGTAGGGGTTAGGTTTAGGACTAAGATGTGAATTGAGTTTAGGTCAGGTTTAGGGTATGGGTCAGGGTTTGGCTATAGAAATGAATGGAAGGCAGTACTAAGTCCCAAACTGTAAAACCTATAAATCAGTATCACACTTATCAATACTGGAAAGGCTGAAATTGTACAAAATCAACAGGACAAGAGCCTTCATCAATAACTTATGATAAACTAAAGCAGGGATGTCCAAAGTATGGCCCGGGGGCCATTTGTGGCCCCTGAACTGATTTTGTGTGGCCTCTGACTTCAGTTCAAGAGTTATACTAATTTGTTTACAAATGTATCCTCCTGGCACAGGTGTTTGATGATGATGGGGACTTTCTGTTTATTATTAGGARAAATTTATCACAAAGTAAAATCTTACAATTAAAAATATTGGCAACAAAACAAATTATTTGTCTTTAAATAACCAGACTCATAGCTTTTTCCACATCCATCTGGTGACTTCTACTCAAAAGCTGATTTTGCTGCACTCCAATCTGCTTTTAATTAATTTATTAAATTTGTCTGAATACAGCAAGCATTTTCAATAAAAGAGTGACATAGATACTGATTTTATTTATCAGAATTGACTAAATTGGGTTATTTTCCCCCCAGTTGAAACCTAGAAAATTGCAAAAAAAAAAAAAATTCTGTAAGGGAAACCTGCAAATTAATTAATCTAGATTAATTTATGCATTTCCAGCAATAAATCTGACTACTTTATTTGTTTAATTGATGCTTAGTTTATTGTTGAGCAGGTAAAGAAAAAATATTTTTGGCCCTCAAGTCCTTCTGACTTTATGATTTTGGCCCACGTGACAAAATGTTTGGACACCCCTGAACTAAAGGATGTGTATCAATTCAAATCCAAATGCACAAGTCAGCATCAAGGTGTGACATATACCAAAGGTTTGCTCTATCCTCATTCCCGTTCTGCACGGGCCTAAACCCCTTTACCCAGATCATCAAAAAGAGTGTCTATGGATACTGATTCCAAAGTGGAAGCTGGCAAGCTGTACGCCAGGATATACTGCAAGGACAATAGAATGTCATTTAGATTGGATACATGTATATATGGCTGGGAGTTTGGCACAGAAGTTAGTTCTCATAACTTGGTTACAGGAAGGTCAGATGTTCAAGGTTCAAACCGTCATGCTGCCATCCTTCAACAACTATGGTTGCTGTGACCTCCAAGCTAGAGAAGTGGCTCCAACAGATCAACAAAGAACCACTGACGGAATCACAAAGAATATGTTGTCAGTGGTTTCTCAGATAACTAATGTTTTGACTTAAATAAAGAGAGACTGCGTTTGCATGTTTCACTTTACCTTGATTGGTCGATAAACAAAGACTAGGAAATGAAGTAAAAAACCACTATTGACCCACAGAAAACTTTGTCAGGCTGCACAAAAACAGTCCCTGCTGTAATGATAATCACGCCATCTTCAACTGTGGCCACTTGGTGTCACTAGATATCTCTGATCAATATCTCTGGAAAAGGTTTCTGTAGTCTTTTACATATTCAAATTACAATGATAATACAAAATCTTTACTCAGCTGTGCAAATTCTCCTTGTTATGCTTGACGAACTTGGTAGAAGCTGGAAAAACGATCACGTTGGAGTGTTCTAAACGAGGAGCAGCCGGTCTTTTGGTTGGTTCCACAGAGGATGCCTCCAGCAGCAGCCATCTTGGAAGTGGTGTTATCATCTTGGCACAGTATTTTATCAGAATGTCTGCTTCAGAACCACGTTTTTCTTTTCAAAATCTCTTTTTTAAAATCTCATCGGGTTTTGTTTTGCATCTGTTTCGCTTCCTTTCCTAGCCGTGCGACTCGTCTCATTTGGGAATTTGAAGACACAAGTGAAGGAAAGAGAAATAAAATAAAGACATAAACCTCGAAATGAAGGTGTCCCCCACCACACCCCACCCTGTTCTGCAAAAAATACATCTCCTCTGCCCCCTCGCTCCATCCTATCACCATCCTCCCCAGCTCATTTGAATAAATTAACACCCCTTGATGTCTTATGTGCATGTACCGTCACGCATGTGCAAACACAGCCACACTCTAGAAAATACGCCTCTGAGGGGAGAAATATACATCCTGTGCTTTGCCACCATGCATGATGATGATGATTATGCAGACACACTCTCAGATGTGCTGATACACTTTCTGCTACAGCAATCACGCATGCCTAGTTCAAGGCAAACAGTCCATTGGCTGGTAGTTGCCTGCTAATGTGCTGCTGCATGGTTGTGTGTGATTCACATTAGTCTAAAGCAGAGGCTTGTTCCCACAAAAAGGTACCTAGAGATYAAAAGGCACTGAGAAACCTGAATAAATCTGACACATACTTCAAACTATTTCCTTTGATTTTGTGGGGTTTCCARAGTACATTTTCTCTACTGTGATTATATTAAAATGATCATAACAACGTCTGGCCAATCAAGAGATTTGCCTCGTTCCACCAATCACAGTTCTCCATCATTATCATGCCTGCATCTCTCTTCATTCTCATTTTGATCTTTTGACCTTGTGCAAAATTAAGCAGCAGCGTTGTGCTCCCCTCTCCTAGTTCTGACCTTGCAGAGGTTTTAAAATAGTGCCTTAAAGGGGATAGATGGGATTTTTTCTTTTTCTTTCATTTTTTAATTTCTTTTATTTTTTTAGTAGTGAGCTTSTGTGTAGAGATCATAAACAGTCAGTGTCTTATCTGCAGAATTGTAAATGTATTTAGGAATTTTCTCAGCTTGAAGAAAAAGAAATTAGTTCTGAACAGACAGCTGCGCTAAAGAGTCCAGTATATTCGAGCCGAAGCCGAAAAGTCGACGCTCGGTCATGTGATTGTTCGACGTTCATTTTTGCACACAATGCTGAGCTCCTGGGAAACCCCTCCTGCTGTGATATACGGCACTGCATGAGGTTTCTTCCCTCTGGAATATTTACTATGGAACAAAACAAAACAAAAACCTCTCCAGTCTGATTTTTTGGCCACAAATCTATCATGTTTGATAACGCCTCACTTTTTTAGCAGACCGATTCCTCTGTGCACAACGTCTTTTTCTACTTTCAACCATGGGTTATTGTCTGTAAATGTCTGATTCTAAATGTCTGTAAATGTCTGAACAGTCGAATTCTGGTAGCGAGTAGTTGAAGCAAAGTGCAGCGTCTGAGCGCTTTCAGCAGAAACAAACACGCCCACAAACTTCTGACCAAGCACAGTATTTGCAGGAGCATTTTAAGATGACATTAATCCATTTTGAACTTAAGAAACGTTTTTTTCAAACTGAAGTTGTTCAGAAAGCGTGCCTCTGCAGTTAGGACATGGGCTGTTCATAACCCCAACACTGAACCCAAAGCTATGTCTTTAATCCTGGAAATACAGTATTAATCTGATTTTGACATGTCATCAGAGCCTGAGGGGAGCTCTGACTGCCTCATCACACTTTGCCCCTCTCATGACTTCTTGTTTTGCTCCACCTCTTTCTTTTCTTTTCAATCAACAAACTTCCTTTCTCTCACAAGTGTATATCTTTGGACAACGATGGAGCAGAGTGATTCAAACAGGGGTTGGAGATGAGTCACACACTGTGGTGGTTTTCAGCAGTGTGGTGGTCTGTCCTGAACTGCAGTCCCAACTGACACTCGCTGGGGCTGTCTGAGAGCCACTCACTTTTCTCTGGCCCAGCTCAGGCTGTCAGTCCCCATGATGATCACTGGCTGACATATAGTATAACCTGCTTGGTGCTGTCAGGCTAGCTCACATCATCTTCTTAACCGTCTTGCCACACTGCTTTTAGAAGACAGACTTKATGTGTTATCACACAAGGCAGTGGGGTGATGCTTCTGTGTGCCGAGAGCTTTAATATGTTGGGTCTTGTTCAATGACCAGTTTATCTCTGGGGCAGAAGAAAGCAGAATACACAACACAATAAAGCCTCCTCTAATGGTTGTAAGTAAAGGTGAGGCTATGTAGGCTTTTTGAAAACATTTGAAAGTGTTAGAAATACAAAAAATAATATTAAATAAAAAATYAAGAAAAACTGTAGATGTGTTGCTGCTCCAGAAGTTGTCCATCTGTATGAGGATAGTTTATGTCCAAGCCCTGTGCCACTTTCATTATGTGGTGTTTGAACATTCACGTTTGATACGTGTGTGAGAAGAGGCACAGTTTGCGTGGGTCTGTGGGTTTCCACCTGTTACATAATAAAAAAGTGGAGGCAGAATGTGCATCCTTTCCTGCCACAGTGGGAGTGAAAGAGTTCCACAGCTTGTCTCAGCTCTTTTAAACAACCAGGATGACTTTTGGTTAAGACTCTAAAAAAAAAAAAAAAAAAAAAACCACATTGCACAAAGAAAGTCGCAAGAATTTTAGGTAATCTGTGTCAGATATAAAGCAGGAAGTACTGAGAAGAAAAGAAAGTTTGTTGTGAAAGTCAAATAATGATAAATAATTGGTCAGATGGGTAATTCTGAAGCTGAAGTTGAGTGTTTGCACTGCGTCCTGCAGGTCCGGAGCTGGATTGTAAATACATGTAAATGTAGCTTTTGTGACGGAGAACTTGCAAAATGTTTGCTTCTCTTTTTCACACTTCTTATTTAAAACAGTCCCCAGCTATCACTTTTTTTGGTCACGTGTGTACAAACATTTTGGTTACTTTTGAATGTAACCAAATCCCTAAAACAAGTTTGAGCTGTGGACGTTTCTGCAGAGACACCTGATGTTAGTGCGCCTTTAAGCCCACGCCATGTCTGTCTTAAGAAAATTAGTTTATTCAGCATTCCAGTAACTTAAAACATTTGAATAAAGATTATTCGCTATTTTTCTGCTTTTTGATGGTATCAGTGCGCAAACCAACGGTGTTTGAGCGTCACATCTGTTTGTAGCCAAACGCGGGCGCAGCGCATAGCAGAGCGCACAACCCAAGAAAACCAGAGTCTGCAGATTCTCTGCGCCCCTTTTTCAAGCTTCTGCAACTCTTCCATCTTTTACTGCCGCACTCCGTCGGTTTGATCCGGTGCGCTCTTCTTCTCTTTGCGCACAGCTAAGACTATGGAAACTGATGTGAGGGGATTTTGGAAGTTGATTTGCATTGCAAATTTTTTTTAAGTTGAATGCTAGACAGAGACTTCAGGAGTTTTACGCTTGGAAACAGCAGTGTAGATAAAAGCGTATCTTCAGTGCGCGTAACGCAGTGGCTCCACTGGATTTTTCCCCTCCTTTTCTTTTTGTATACTAGCTCCACATTTGCACGCGGGGTTCATCTCTCCACTACGGCGCATCATTTGGATACCGGGGGTGGGGCGACAGCAGCAGCAGCTTGTCCCGGTAAGGGGAGGAGAGAACAGGGAACAGAGGCGGTTCTTTTCTGGGCTCCTTTCGCTGGAGAGAGTGTGGAACCAGGCGCCGGAGAGAGACCGCCTGGAGAGGAGCATCGGCAGAACCAGCCCGGCACGGAGCCTCGCCTCGCCTCGCCTTGCCTGGCCGACCGCGGCGCCGTGCACTCTTCTCGGGGACTGCACAACATTCGTGTGAAATATACCTGCTATTAATGGCATGTGGCTTGTAACTTTACTTCTGCTGTATTCTTTGCAAAAAGGTAAGCTTGAATTGCGTCTTTTTTTCTCTGCRGAAGTTGCATCTTGATTGTAAATGTTGCTGGACTTGTCATAAAAGAGAACTCTAAACTCTAAAGGCTCCTCTGAGGAAGATTACTAACTTTTTCCTTATCTTTTCTAAAGGATGTTTCCCTAATGAGTCATTATTTTCTCCTTAAGCCTGGATTCACCCACCCCCAACCCCCCTCTTCATAGTGATTACCTGATTAGACGAAAAACAAAACATGTACAAATTAGATATGATGATAAAATACGATTAGGCATTTAAACTAAGAGAAAACCACAAAGATCTCCAAATAATTTTGTCCWCAAACGGTGCAAGCAGCGATTAACCTAAAGGGGAAAAAACAGCGGCATTAGCATTTGCATGATGAATATGTGGATGTGTCGTGAATATGGAGGCTGTTGAATACGAGGAGAGGCTGATAAGGATCTGCAGGCGCACGCACGGATACTAAGGGGGGGGGGGGGTCTCGCCGATGCTGCTGACCACTGCTGAGAGGGCTTGTTTCCTCTCAAAAGTCCAAGTGGAAGCAAAAGTTTGATGTATTTTCATACTTTTTCTTTTCTATGTTGTCTTGCAGCGCAGAGAAGATGTTAGTTTGTGCGAGTGTGTGCGTGTGGAGGTTAGAAGGAAGAGGATGAGGAGGGGGTCCCGGGGGTTTAAGGATATTTTTATTTACCTGTTTTTTCTTCTTCTAAAATAAAAATGATACTGTTAAGTTGCGGTGCGTCTTGGGCGCGCGTCAAATCCTAACAGGGGCAACAAGGGTCGACCCTTTTCACGAGAGTCTCGTGCTGAGGGCAAACTGAGCTCTGGACTTGAATTTGCAGATGATGTTGGACGTTTTTAAAGGACCAGACTGTGCATGAGAGATGCTCTCCTCTGATAAAATGTCGGAGTGTCAGTGAGCAGGCTCGGGTTGTTATCATCTTCTGGTCTAATTATTCATCCACCATTTTCTGTGCCACCACGTACTGATTGGCCTTGCTCTAAATACTGCAGATGCAAGATAATGACTCATATTCTCTGTTTTTAAGAAATGAAATGCCCTATTGTTGCTGTGCGATATTCTACCACTTGGTAAGATGACAAATATTACAAAAATAAAATAAAATACCAAAAAACAATTTGAAAACATGAGACAATTTACTGCCTAGTTGTGTTTTTACGCACAAGTCGGAAACGGAACATTTCCTTAGAAAGCCCTGTTTGAAATACTTCAAAGCTTTGTTTTTTTCATGGTTCTGGGTTTCACGGCTGTTTGATGCGATCTCGTGCTGTCACTGGCCTTGGCAGTGCCCTCTGCCAGGCTGCAGCTGCGGCGGGTTGGGGGGCGGGAGG